CGCCCCAATGCCTGCCGACAACCGCGGACCCTGCGCGCACGCGTCCTAAACTCGAAGCCGGAAAAGTTTCGCGCAGGAGCCCGGCCCCAGTGCACCGCGCTGCAGGACAGGCGGGGATCCCTCCTTCGCCCGCGCTTTCGTCCCAGCGCGTCTCCGCGGCCTGCAGAGCGCAGCTGCAGTGCCTGGGTGGGATCATGGAGCGGGGCGAAGGGCGGGAAATGGGATCCCAGTGGACCGAGTAGCCCCGGAGGGAAGACCGGTACGCTCCTCCGGCAAACCCGCTTCAGACACGTGTGACCTGCAGCTAGAAGAGGGGCAGAATCAAGAAGTCCGAGCTGCGGAAGGAAGAGGGTCCCCACTCTAGAGCTTCACCTTCAGTCCATCTCACCCGTGCCCTCGCAAATAGGGCCCGAACCCAGAGGAGCTTCGGAGGGTCTCAGGCCTCTACCATCCCCAGGCCCAGAACTCCCAGGAAGCCGAAGCCGGGTCTGGGCTGCTTTGCTCCCCCACGCCCGCCTCCGCTCTTGTCGTTGTTTGTTCAGCGATAGCCGGCGTGTGCTCAGGGAGACATTTGTCACCGTGAGGTGGAGGAGTCACAGGCTTCGCCCCCAGCAGGGAGCGCTGGCCGGACCTCCCCTGCAGGGCGGGGGGGGGGGCGGCTCTGTTACCCTCTTTCCAGTGCCCTTCTCCTTGGCCCGGCTCAGGATTTTGAGGAAATACGGGAACGTGTGTGGAGGGCGAAGGTTGAGATGCCCAGCCTCAAACTTCGAAATAGAGCGAAAGTGGGTTATTTCGAAATAGAGCAAGAACGTGACTTACAAGGGGGTTACTTACCCATCCCTCCCTCGTTCCCCTGTAATTGCCAGCTACTGAAGTGATGAAGGGACTGCAACCTAGCCCCTGCCACAGCCCCATCGCAGGGTGACAGGCATCCCCCTAGCAGCGCGCCTGACTGCATCTTTTCCCCCAGTTTGGGGCTGTTGCTTCTGGGGAAGTCTTTCTCAGGGAGCGGTGTTGAGGATTTCCATGAGCTGAAGCCCCTCCTGGGAGCCCCATGCGCCGGGGGGGATCCGGACGGTACGCTGATGCAGGCCAGGGAACGAGCAGCCCCCGGCAGCAAACCCGCTGTAGGGCGGGACGCCGGCCAAGCCCCCGCTGGCCGGGAGACGGACCCCCCGCCGGGCCGGGCTCTAGCGCAGTTGAGGGTGCCCGCAGGGCCGAGACAAACACCGAGGTCAGAGAGCGCGGCCGAGCCTGGGGAGGGAGGAGCGGCTAGTGGCTCCGGCTGCAGCTGCAGCGGCCCCGCGGGAGCCCGAGAGCCCAAGCCCGGAGCTGTGGTTTATTCACTTCCTTTTGCTACTTCTCAGCTGCGGCCCCTGAGGGCGCAGCGACTCAGGGTCTCCCCGCGCAGCTACACACCAAGCGGGGCCGAGGGGAGGGGTCGGCGGGGACTCTGATGCTTATCCCCGTGCCCCGATCCGAGTCTCCCCACTCTGTGCCGCCAACACCCCACTCCTCAGCTCGCTGCCCTCCCCACTCCCTTCCGGCTCGCTGGCGCGTCCTCGCTCCCTTTTTGTGGCCTAGGCTCCTTTCACCTTCTGCTCCGGCTTGTCGCAATCGCTGTACAAAGGGCCTGGGGCGGGATTGGGGTGGGGGGAGGCGGGCGAGGGGAGCCGGGCCCGAACTGGCTGCCTCTGCGGGGCCACGGCCAATCCCGAGCGCCCACCGCCCACCCCACCCCCGCGCAGGAGAGCCCTGGGCAGCTCCGCCCGCAGAGCCGGGAGCTCTCCTACCTCGCCATGCCGCCGTGGGGCGCCGCTCTCGCCCTGCTCCTGGCCGCGCTCGCCCTGCTTGGCCTGCTGGCCCCGCGGCTGCGGCGCGCCGTCGGAGCGAGGACTCTGCCGGGGGCCCGCGGCCAGGACCACGAAGAGGAGGCGGACGGCGGAGGCGCCGCGGCCCCGTTCAGCGACGGGCGGGAGCCGCTGCCTGGCGGGTGCAGGCTCATCTGTAAACCGTCGGCGCTGGCCCAGTGCCTGCTGAGCGCCTTGCGACGCTCGACTGCGCTGGAGCCGCGCCCGCGCTCCTGGCTCTCCGGGCCCCACCTGCAGACCCTCTGCCACTTCGTGCTGCCGGTAGGGCCGGGGCCTGAACTGGCCCGGGAGTACCTGCAGTTAGCGGACGACGGGCTGGTGGCCCTGGACTGGGTCGTGGGACCTTGTCCCCGGGGCCGGCGGGTCACCAACGCCGGGGGCCTCCCCGCGGTGCTGCTGGTGATCCCCAGTGCATGGGGGCGCCTCACTCGCAACGTGCTCGGCCTCTGCCTGCTCGCCCTGGAGCGCGGCTACTACCCGGTCATCTTCCACCGCCGCGGCCACCACGGCTGCCCGCTGGTCAGCCCCCGGCTGCAGCCTTTCGGGGACCCGTCCGACCTCAAAGAGGCGGTCACTTACATCCGCTTCCGACACCCGGCGGCCCCTCTGTTCGCGGTGAGCGAGGGCTCGGGCTCGGCGCTTCTGCTGTCCTACCTGGGCGAGTGCGGCTCCTCCAGCTATGTGACCGGCGCTGCCTGCATCTCGCCCGTGCTGCGCTGCCGCGAGTGGTTTGAGGCCGGCCTGCCCTGGCCCTACGAGCGGGGCTTTCTGCTCCACCAGAAGGTGGCCCTCAGCAGGTGGGTAACGGAGGCCGCAGGCCGGCAAGAGGGAAATAGGGATCTTGGGCTGACGAAGAAACGGCCCTGCCTGGAATCGAATCACATAGGTTTAGGGCAATTTGGACAAAGTTCTCTTCACACACTTTCTGAGGCTGTCCAAACCCTCCAGTCTAGACAGAACCAGGGAAACACGTTTAAAAGCTATGGACGGACTTAACATCACTATGCTGGAACAGGGACTCCTGCCATGGGGCCCCATGGCCTCAGGTTCGCCCCAGGCTGTCCCAGCAACCTGAGCACGTGCCCCACCTGTAAGCAGAGGCAGCACCAGACAAGTTTACCACTTAACCCACAGCTTGTCAAATCAGCAAAGAGGGTTCTGGAAGCAATTGCAACTGATTGTCTGTCCAGAATGTTTCCTTATAGCGTCTGAGCCTGGAGGTGACAGGAATCAGAAATTTGGTGGTATGTGATTTATTAACATTTTCTGGACCCCACAAAGGTTTTTGCATATTCCTCTATATTGATCCAAAAATGTAAAGAATATGTCAACATACTTTTTAAAAAATCTCCAAAAGGAGAGCAATCCACCATTAGGTTGACAGGTGAGGCTTTGGCACTGAAGAGGCCTGAACGACCATTCCCACAGCAAATGACCAGGCCTCAGCTTGCACTGTTGCCTTCCTAGGAGGTGGCAAAATGAGGTCAAAGACATTCAAGCAGAAAGTGTGGTGAGGCAGAAAGACCTGGGATGTACAGTCAGACCCACATTAGTTCAAATCCTAGCACTAGGTAGGTGCTCAAAAAATGGTGGCAATTGTGATTTCTCTTTTTCTCCTTGCCCCATTTTGTTCTGAGAAGGTCAAACCCTGAGCTCAACAATGGCCCGAAGTGTTGTCACAGCAGAGCAGTCCAAGGCAAGGCGTTCTCATATGGCTTAATTGCCAGTTTCCATCCCCAAATGATCGTGTGTCTCCCCGCCCCGCCCCCGCCCAGTGCTGACTCGAGGCACCGGCTGACGGATAAGGTGAGGGAAGTGGAGAGGAAATCCGGACCTTTAGGGTCTGTCCTGCCCATGGAAGTTTAGGATGGAAAACTCAGGGCAAGCCTCTTTGAATGTTTGCCAGAGACACACATCCAAATGCAACTGGCTAAGTCTGGATTGGTCCACCCAAAGCACTGAGCTGCCCATCCTAGCCTTCGTGTCAGGGTGCCAGGCTCTCTCCATGGAGGTTGAAACAGCAAAAATGTCCCTCTTCCCCAGAGCAGTGGTTCTCAGGCTCCCATGTGGGAACTTACCCTCCTGGCTACTTCCTCTGCCGCTCAGCCCTCTCTAGGAATACCCGTATCACTGCTCAAGGTTTGCCATTATCTGGGCAGCATGTTAACCTTTAAATATCAGACTAATATAACCTGAAGTAAAATGTTAATGATGGGGGGGATGTCACTTGAATAGTCTGAGCCAGGGAGTTCTAGGAGGGGTTCAGGAGGTGATGGTTCAAAGCAGGTTGCCTAGAAGGTCGGGAGTTGAGGTCAGGAGGAGAGCTGTCACTATGGATCAGCCGCTGTGAAGTCATTTGCTGCCCCAGGGCTAGGCAGGTTAATGCCCTGAATGCCAGCCCATGTTGCCAGACCTTTCCATTTCCCAAGAGATCCCAAATATCTGCAGTGTATGTGAACTCTCCTGGTTTTAAATGATGACAGTTGGGTGCCTGGCCCGCTCAGTCCGTAGAGCATGTGACTCTTGATCTCAGGGTTGCTGTCCCTCCTTTGGGCATTGAGTTCACTTAAAAAGATAAAATCTTTTTTTTTTTTTAAAGATTTTATTTATTTGACAGAGAGAGACACAGTGAGAGAGGGAACACAGCAGGAGGAGAGGGAGAGGGAGAAGCAGGCTTCCCGCCGAGCAGGGAGCCCGATGAGGGGCTCGATCCCAGGACCCTGGGATCATGACCTGAGCTGAAGGCAGACGCTTAACCACTGAGCCACCCAGGCACCCCAAGATAAAATCTTTAAATGATGACAATGAAATGGAAGTTTAGTATCATACGGCCAAAGGATGCTTCTGTGGCCAGAATCTGGCCTGCGGCCTGCCCCTCTGGAGCTCCTGCTGTCGATCCATTTTCTCATTCTTCCCTCTCTCTC